AAGTTCAAGAGAGGCCCTAAAGACTCCTCTCGTAGAGCTCTTAAGCTCGTGGCTATTCTTAACACCACATTTAGTTTTTCGACTCCTATTTGGGTATGTGCGGCATATTGGCGGTATTCGGCCTTAAGGAGGATGCTGAGATATTCAGACCAACAGGATTGCAGTTATCCAAGTAGTAACGACGATACCGGACTCACCTTGGGAGTAAGCATGTCATCACTCGTAGGCGTATTCGTCATCGCGGTCCGGATTGGAGCTCCTGCTACTGCCATAAGGACGTCTTCATCGCTCATGAGAGACTAGCGATAGTCGACGTAGAGTCCGGTGCTCAGCCTTTGTACAACAAGGATCACACGACTGTAGGCTAGCTTCTGGACCGGGAGGTCACTCCTTAAACGATGGGGCCTACAGGTACTGGCTGTTAACGGTGAGATATACAACTACCAACCTATTCGGGAACAGCTTATCAAGGAGGGGTTTGAGTTCGCCAGCGGCAGTGACTGTGAGGTTATGCTCCACATGTAATACGAGGTTGATGACTTGGCCTTGGGGGACGCCCTAGTGTACAGGTACGACCGTGGGGACTCAATGGAAGACCTCCTCAACCAGCTACGTGGTATGTTCGCTTTCGTTATCTATGACGCCACAAGCGGTCGTTATGTTGCTGCTAGAGACCATGTAGGAGTGTTGCTGTAAGGAGAGGCGGTTTACTATTGGTTGTTTAGATTGGTATCATTCCTCTGTATATCGGTTGGGGTCCTGATGGTGAGGTATATTTCGCCAGTGAGATGAAGGCTCTCAGTGACCGATGCACCAACTACAAGCAGTTCCCTCCAGGACACTACTACGACTCAGTCAAGCACGGTAGGTCTCCTAGAGCGACTGTGAGGAGCCGAATTTCATCCCATACAGGTATTCACAAGTTCGAGAGATGGTATAACCCTTCCTGGAGACTCGAGATTCCCACCCAAAGGCCGACCCCTGAGGAACTTCGTACAGCTTTGGTGAACTCAGTAGAGTCCCATATGATGGCCGATGTCCCCTATGGAGTGCTCCTGTCGGGTGGTCTAGACTCTAGCCTCGTAGCCAGTATTGCCTCTCGTATTCGTATGCGACAGGCTTGTGGAGATGATGAGGATTACTGTAGGAAACTAAGGCAATCAGGCAAACTCCCCAAGATAGCACGACTGAGGTAGGCGTCTATCGAGTGTTATGAGTACGTGATACGGTCCTCAGGTCGTACTGTGTCGGGCTTGAAGGCTCTCCCGATGTGAAGGCTGCTAGGGAGGTTGCTCAGTTCCTCGGTACCCACCATAGAGAGTTCACCTTCACCTTACAGGTAAAGAGGTTTTCACTTCATTGTGTATTACCTTGTTGGTTCTAGGATGGTATCGACGCGTTGGAAGATGTAATCTACCATCTGGAGACCTTCGACGTTACCACAGTCCGCGCCTCGACTCCTATGTACCTCATGACTCGTCTCATCAAGGCTACTGGTAAGCGCTGCTACCCCGGGTTTTCATGACAGGTGTTGTGATAGGCGTCAAGATGGTCCTCAGTGGGGAAGGTGCCGATGAGGTTTTCGGAGGTTATCTTTACTTCCATAAGGCCCCCAATTCGAAGGAGTTCCATGAGGAATGTGTCAGGAAGATCGACCAGCTTCACATGTTCGATTGCTTGAGAGTAAGCCCTTGCTATTTGGTGTCTGTCATCTGTATCGTCTCCTTTTTTGTAGGCCAACAAGGCCATGTGCTCTTTTGGGGTGGAAGCCCGAGTTCCCTTCCTGGACCGCGAGTTCTTGGAGGTAGCTATGAACATTGATCCTGAACTGAAGATGGTCGGTCGTGGTGGTCGCACTATGGAAAAGCAAATCCTGAGGTGAGTTTTCGCTTGATACCACGCTTGGGTGATGATTGAGTACTTCCTCGTAGGGCTGCGTTCGACACCCCTGAGGATCCCTACCTTCCCGACTCAGTTTTATGGAGGCAAAAAGAGCAGTTCTCTGATGGAGTGGGGTACGGCTGGATCGACAGGCTCAGGGACTATGCTGATGAGAAGATCAGCGACGATATGATGGACACTGCTGAGTGAGATGCTCTAGTTCGTCTCAGGGCTGTACTAGTGGTAGTACTCAGGTTCCGCTACCCTGAATCGACCCCACTCACCAAGGAGGCATATCTCTACCGGCAGATATTTGAGAAGTATTTCCCTCAAGCTTGTGGCGTGAAGACAGTCCCTTATGGGCCTTCTATTGCTTGCTCTACCGGAGCTGCGATGAAGTGGGATAAGTCCTTTATGGAGCACGATGACCCTAGCGGCCGTGCTATGACGACTGTTCATGTTGATGGGTATAAGGATTAGTTCAGTAAGCACATCTAAGATAGTAGATTCTGTCATAAACTGCGACTTCAACAAGTGTTTACTGTCGTAGCGATAGTAGTTGTAATAAGTTGAACTGTCGACACCGACAGAAAGTTTCTCCCAAGAGTATCACTGATAATTGTGTTCTTAGTTGGGCATGTGATAGCGACTGCGATCGTCTCTAGAAGTTGGAATCCGCGTGGTATGACGAGTGACCAGGATAAGTTTTTTCGAAGTCCTTCCATGCCGGCAGCGACAGTGGGAAAGGCTGCTCCTCCCGCTGGCACAGTATCGGAGCAGTTCTATCAAATCGATCGCTGCTTTAGAGACGAGGCGTATCAAGAGGCTAGCAGGACTGCTAAACAGAGTAGAATACTGGCTTGTCGAAGGGCTGTTCATCGGTTGTTGTTGTTATCTTTAGTATTGAGCAAACAACCTGAGAATACGCAGGCTATGATGTGTTACTTGTAATAGGAGGGTGAATATGGAACTCGGTGTTATGGATGTAGATCCCGTTAGCATGCTTGTTTCCCTTCGAATAGGTATAGCCAGATTCAGTTGTCGCAGTGGAAGAATTGCCTCAACTTTATGGATTCGAAGACCGCCATGGCTCTAGATAAGTGTACTATTGGGAGATGAGCGAGCTCTCATTTACTCTGGTCAGGAGTGTCATAAGCATACCACCCGTAGGTTCATCGGAGGATCGAGCTACGCTAAGTTACTATCGAGCCTACTGCCTTTATCGCCTCAATAGAGAGGGGGTATCATACAAAGTGCAGTAGGAAGAGAGAATTTGACCTTTCTCAGGAGTGCTTGGAGGAGATATCGAGAAATGGTGACAGCAATTCCGAGAAGTGGCAGGTGTTGGAAGCTCAGTGTCGCTATCGACTTCATCAGTGAGTATACATTTACTGCTAGTAGTAGAGTGGACCTGAGCACCGGCAGATACTCGAAAACTACAGGGCTTTACCAGAAACTACTCGCGGAAGCTGAAAATGAATCCAATGGGGTAGATTCTGAATCCGCTTTGTTACTATCGGTAAGTATATCACCCTAGCTCTCCCACTCGAGTTGAGGTATAGATAAATCTACTGGCAAGTTGTGTGTCTGGGGGCAGCACTGACGACTTGGATAGGATGATGAAGGATCTAGGCGAGCCTGAGGATGCCTATGAGGTTGGACTTATACTGCATGGACGACATGTGGAAGATCTTTCTATTTCAGTTGGCTTACAATCTGGCATGTGCTTATCTTCTCAAGAAGGACTATGTGAAGGCCGAGGACATGCTCGTAATCATGTTAGTCGTAGTTTGTTGGAACTCTGATTCTGTTGCAGGTCTTGGCCTCGTCCCTCTGCAAGGGCGAGCTTGATATCGATACGGACTCGGACCCTGAGCTCAACTGGATCAAAGCTCAACTTGGGTACGACTGTTAAGGATCTTCATATTTGATTATGGTGTATATTCATAGTTACCTTCGTCAACTACAGGGGCGGACCGGTGAGGCTGCAGAGTAGGGTTCGCGTTGAATGGTAGTTGGTTGTGCATCCGTCTGCTTTGATAGAATATACGAGAAAATAATGCGACCTGTAATAGGAGGCATGAAGAACGATATCTCGGTTATGGCAACTGCATGCAACAATCTTGGTAGCACTGGAAAAGGAAAAAGGACTCGTCTGAAATGCTGTTGTTAGTGACCTTAAGACCGAAGGGCAGTTCACTCTTCGACGCTCTCAAGAGGGTTCGACTCGCCAGTAAAGCTGAGTCCCTCGAGAGCAAGCTGACGGCCAGTCAGTTGAAGACCTTGGGTCTCAACAAGAGCATCGTGAGGAACACTACTACTGTGGTTGACTGCCCATGGTTTCCTTTTGCCAGGCTTTATCGTCCCGATCGAAGATTTCCGAAGCTCGAGGAGTACTATCACAGCTAGAGGCGCAGCTAGGGGATAGTTTCGCTCGCAGCGGCACCGCGGCTGTGTGCAGGGCTGTTATACAGTATGCTAGCGGAGTGAAGGAGGAGGCGGTAGGTCTCATCGGTGTGCCTTGGAAATGCTCCATCTGGAATCCTCCAGGTCGACACTTTGAAGTCCTGGCTGGCCTCGAACAGCTCTTCAGGGGATTCCACATTTGTGCGTTTGTCTTTGGCTGGTCTCCTCGCTGAATCACCAACGACTAGGTCAGAGGCTGCCAAGTTGCTGAGTGCCCTCGGTCCCGAGGTAAGGGTGGACAGTACCTCTAGTGTATGGATGATCACACTTCAGATTAGTATGGGAAGGCCAGAAGCAGTAAGGCAGAGGTTCGGTGCTCACAGTGGGGATACGGCCGAGGACCGCGCTGCGTTGAGGAATGAGATCACTGAAGTGAATCACACCTGTCTGTTGCCTTGGAGGAGTTGTATGGTCTCAGGTGCTGAACTTTTGGCAGAAACGTTCGTCGGGAGATGCAGCTGCGGTTTTGAGGTAAGGGTCTCGATGTCCTTGGAGGTGTCTCGAAGTTATCCTTCGTATCACCACTGGATTTACGATCGGTCCTAAAACACCGACGAACCCTCATGACACGCTGATGAAAACTATTCTATAGACACTGAAACTCGCTGATTCATCGGGAGTCGGCAGGACGCCTCTGGAACCGCCGAGCTGCTCACACTTGAGCGTGCCAGGTTTACGTATGCACCCGAACAATGTCTATGCTGATAGGTATGTTGCTGATGTTGCCACTCGTAACAAGTTCTACGAGGAAGCTGTACGGACGTGGGAACTGTATGGCAGCAAAGTTGGAGATACCGGGGCGGTCGAGGCGGTCCAAGGACTGGTAGGTGCTCGGACGGTAATACAAGTACTGTTATCGGTAGGGGTTTCAGGTAGCAGCTATCTCACGTGTGGATGCCCCGAGCTCAGAGAGTTTGAGTAATGCTTCTATGCTGGTGGAGCGACTGGTGCAAAGGTAGGGGTACGAGCTCTCTGTTGAGTTCAACTTCCCCGAGTAGATCATCTGAAGCAGAAGCAATAGAGGATGCTATAGATGATGTGGACCCTGAGGAGTTGGAGGGCATGGACGTTAGCATGGGGAGCTGGAAGGTGGCAGCTACAGCTCCTACAGCAGCAGTCGAGGGAGAGAATGTCGAGGTGATACTGGGCATCACTCGTGTTGGAAAATATGTCCGCTTTCCTTTGCTAAGTCTAGGAATTCCCTCGCTAATGATCGGAGTTTATATACGGTTTCGGGTAGAAGTGTACAGAAACCAATGAGAATTTCTCAAAAAGAATTCTCAGAATTTTCATATTATCACCAATACATGTAGTTGAGCACGCTGCATATCTTGGATTTGCTATTGGATAGGTTAAGAAGCGACACCGTAAGCGGAAGCCTCGCTACCCTAAGGGCTTCGATCCGGAGAACCCGTCAGCATTCAAGAAACCAGACCCTGAGAGGTAGGGTGGAGTTGGAGGCCTGATGACCGAGATGGTCTATAGGTGGTTACCGAAACATGAACGTTCTGACTACCGTAGGAAGATGAAGAAGAAGCAAATGCAGTTGATGCGTGGTCCTCAGGGTACGGACTCTTGTCGTGATTACATTCACTAGTTCTTCCATGTGGTAGGTGTGGTCCCTACTGAAGGTGAGCATGTGAAGACCGGCCCGAGCACGGCCCAGCTGGAGGCGTCTACAGAGAGGCAGACCCAACATCAGAAGAGACGGAAGAACCAACGCAAGCGCAAGTGATGACTGCTCCTGCTGCTGCTGCTGCGGTTGTTGTTGTTGTTGTTGTTGTTGTTGTTGTTGTTGTTGTTGACTTTTGGTATCCATTCAACCTCCCTCCTGTGTTTCCCTCGTATTGTGGTAAGGGTTGTAGTATGTGAATATTGGGAACCTGTGGAGGATGGGCAAGATGAGAGTAACTAGACCTACTACCAGTCGTCCGTGCTTCGCAGGCCTGCGAGAAGTAAGAGTGACGTTTCTCTTCCGATTGCATCATGCATCAATGATGAGTATTGCTTGGTCGTTTAGCTCAGTCGGTTATAGCATCGTGCTAATAACGCGGGGGTCGCAGGTTCGAGGGCGGAAGCATCATAATACAGAGGCATATGAATAGAAAGCCTCTCCAGTGTTCCTGTTTTTTCAACGTCTCAATGTCCAGCAGGCTCCCCGACAGTAGCGGGCGTAAAGGTCGAGTTGGACATCTGTTGGCTGCTTACTATTCGAGATCGGATTCACAAGTAAGCGCGTACTCTAACCTGATGCCCCCTCCCTTTTGCCCGGCTCGATGGAGTCAGTCCCTGGGTCCACTTGCTGATATTTCTCTTGTCCATTGTTCACTTCGACCGACGGTTTTCTATCTGGATGATCCAACTGTCTGGAGATCTGAGGAGCTCTCCTCTCCCCCCGATACTCGCTCGTTCTTCCTCTCCAGCCCGAGCCTGCCTCCTCCGACTCGCGTCTTGAGACCCTATCAGAAAATCAGGCAGCTAGCAGCAGCAGCAGTCCACCCAGGGCAGGGAATAGACCTGCCTCGCATCCCCATCTCGGTAGGACACAACTCACATGGGCGTAGCACTATCTCAAGTTGTTGTCGGGTCTCAGGTGTTCTATTGGAGCCCGAAGCATACGCGAACGGCAGTGTAGTACCACTCAGTGAGTCACTGGAGAGCTCACAGCGTGTTCTGTCTAAAGAAATAAAGATACTCAATCAGCAGGCAGGCAACAGCTTGGCTTGGATTAATCGAGTGTTGCCTGTTGATAGGTCGGAGAGGAAACCTACAGTAGCTATAGACTATTGGTTCAGACATGTACCCCATCAACGGGGATATTGAGTATTGCAAAAGTAAATGATCAAGTAGCGACGAGTTATCATAAGCAGAGCTCTCAGGTCGGTAGATACCAAGACCACACTGAAGCCGTAGTTCAAGCAGTCTCTAGAATTGATAAGGACTACCGCACGGTAGGTCTACGCATTGCAGAAGGCAAATGCCTCGCTCTCTTAGTTGGCGAGTTGCGGCCTTCGACCAGAGAAGATGCGGCGGATCACAGAGCTCGCGATCACTAGGGAGTTGGTCGACTCGGTGACCGAGCTCCTGAGACTTGATGAGATGGTCACCTCCTGGTGTTATATATGCAGTCAGTTACCTCATCTCCCCTAGATTGCTTCATTAACAGAGAGTGCTTCTACCTTGCCGAAGGCTATGGAAGCTTACGAGGGCGCCAGAACTGCAGTAGAAGTGAGAAATATGTGGTAAGTAGTTGTTCTATAGCCATTCTGCAGGCGGTACCAGCGCTTCGCAGTTCACCAGCAATTGTGGCGGTGCTGGCCAGAGCATCTGACATACTCGTAAAAGCTCGAAAGAGAATGTAGGATAACCAGTTCAGACCGGTTCGTTTCGCGACGATAAGTTTTACTATCATGCTCAGAGGCGCTGAGGAGCATTCGAGTCAACAGGGGTCGGCGGCAGTGGACCGCTCCGTTTCAGTATCAGATCAGGAACATTCTCCGAGTGGTGATGAGTAGTTTCTACAGTGACCCCTATTTAGTTGTGACAGGTACGTAACATATCACAACCCATAGGTAGATGTCTCTGAACCTCTGCTGAGTGAGCTAGAGAGGTCATCGGGTAACGACATGACCGAGAGCTAGGCTTATGTCGCGCAATCTCCCGAACCTCTAGCGAGTCTAGGCGACTCCTATACTGTCGGCAAACTTCCAAGAAGAGCGAATCGTACTGAGTTGTGTTTCTGAGTGATGAGGGTGACGAGCCTCCATTCATGTGATGACATGGGAGTGTCTCTTAGGACTTAGTCTTTGCCCCCTGGACGAGATGGTGTGCTTCGCTGAGTTCGCCTTTAGCAATTACTCATAACACCGTAGCTCTAATCATCGAACTACGATACCGACGACTTCACTCCTAATGAATGTTTCGTAGATGTATAAATCTGATCTATCGAGAACCTAGGACCTCTTCGGGAATTGTCACTTCGTCTCAAAGCTGATGGCTCTAAATCGTCCCCAGGATAAACCACCACTATGTTAAGACAAGCTCTGGAACGGGCGATGTCAATGCTTATCGAGATCGTGCCGGAGATCTGGGCAGCTCTGTCACTGATCGTATGGCGCGTCTGTCTTCGTCGAGCAGATCAGAGCAATAGCCGTTTAACGCGTGAATACCGTTGCATTGTTGGCACACTGATTCCAACTCAAAAGACACATGGAGGCTCATAAGAAGCATATCTCAACGTCATTACTGAGTCGATATGTCTAGACTCATTACCACTCTTCTTCAGCGGCCAATTCCAACTGTACGGGATCCGATGCATCCTTGCAGCCCGCTAAAGCTCGAACCTGAGATTAACGAACGCCACTTGTGTAACTTAAGAGCCTCCAAAAGAAGTTGCAACGAAGAATCACATAGGCGTGGAACTTGAGCAAACCAGACAATAACACCCTGCGATATGCCCCCTTGTCAGTACCTGGGATAGCGTTAAGTCGTGATCTAACTCGACCCCATCTGTGTCCTTGCACACATTCAAATTGGACTTGGAACCATACTTCGCCAATAGCTCTCCGATTGTGATATGCCCTTCAAGTCTAACAACCCTTTCCTTCTCTCCAAATTTCAATTTCGCAGGGTACACGTCGATAACATCAGGCACGGTAGCAGGTGCAACAGCAGTAGGCTGTGGTGTCACACTGACCTCAGGCTTACTGCCACTCACACTAGGGGTCGTAGCCAAGGGTACCTCCTCTACTACCGGCAGATTGCACCTTTCCATTATCTGGATCAACGGGTGTCGCGGCGTCGGAATCTCCGCAGGGTCGACTCTACTCCGAACAGCACCACGTTTCTCACCAACATGTTCGAACTTGCACATATCCCCATATCGGCACTTCCCCGTGTCTCTCCAAAGATGACATGTATTGTCGCGACCCGGAGGGCCTACGCTTGCTTGAGGGTTGGGTAGTAGTTTAGCCTCGGCTCGCCTACCAGACCGACTCCTCGTCCGTGATGAATGGCGACCTCGACGAGGCTCGCTATACGCCGACGCATTGTCTTCCGGATCAGACATGCCGAAACACGTCGCAATCGGACACACTAAATACAGAGCCGTAGTATTCGCATTGATCCCACGACCGCCCTTGGTATGTTCAGTTAAAAGTTTGAGACAGAAACTCTCAGAGAGCCAATTGGGATGGATCCAATAGAGTAGACACTTAGTATGTGCGCAAGCCTTGAGTTGAATACTTAACGAAAACGCAAATGTTGATTATTGAAACTAGTACTACGATGGCTCTCAGGTATATCAGACTCCAATCATCCCATAATCACATATCCAACTTCTGCTCCATCTGATCATGGACCGGTTTCCTGCTGCGCGGGAATGGTGAACTCTCAGGAACTGAGGAGAAAGGAAGTGCGAATGTCTTTGCGTAGGCCTGGGTTGTGTGGAGGAGGGAAATACAACTCCGATGACCATTACTAAGTCGTGAGTATTTAAAATTAATTATACGTGTTCTAACACCAACTAGGCATCCACGTAGAGCAGTTCGGTCAACTGTACTGAGCATATGCTACTATTCTCCAACGTAGTTCCTAACTACTAACGCTGCATAGAGTAATTATACGAGATACTACAGTACAGACTCGGACAACCCTATTACGATTCATGTAATCAGCCGCCTCTATGGTGTCGTCCATCCCCATAACTGTCTCTAAACCCAGAAGGCTCGACCTGAAATCAAAGACGACTACGGTGGCCACCATCTTCCTTAAGTAGGATATTACGGTCCAGCACCAGGCAGTCGATGGAAAGTACTGAGGAGGTTACGTTCCATTAGCATTCTGCTAGGCATGTTCATGCCGAACAACACTGAGGCTGTCTCCATAGTGCGGGCCTGAGGACAGCTACATAGCTTTCTCACTGATAGGCATGTAGCACCTCCGCACTGACGAGACTCTTCTTTTGCATCGCCTCCACAGGATGGCTCATCCCCACACTCTCTGGGGCTGGGCGCTCCCCATGCATCAACTGATTGGGGAAGCAATCATTGGAGAGAGGTGGAAGGGAGTTGTTGGACATGTCCATGCTTTTTAACACAAAACTATGCACTGCAACGCCGAGCCACCAAACCATTAATGCTACGACAGGTGGAGCACATTCGAGCATGTAGCGCTCGCCATGTTGATCGATATGAGCCGAACGAACTCAAACTCAACATCTTAGTTCTGAACTCGGCAATCCTTCCCGGAAATGTGGCATCACATAATAGTCCTCCTGAGACTATTAATGAAACAGTTAACGTTACGGTGGTGACCCGTGCTCATCATTGTCGAGGGAATCATCCCGCAGTTCGACCTCCTCGTCCCGTAGGCCGTTTCGTGGTCTGTGGCTCTTCCTCCTCCGGAATGGCCGCGAGCCTTCCTCTTTTTGGCTTCGTCTTGGACTTCGCGGCAACAGTAGAGGCTAGACGCTTCCTGACATTAGCAGTTCCACACCAGCCTCAACACAGAGCCTACCGGGTTTTAGTCGGTGTAACTTCAGAAGTAGCGCTGGAGGATGTGGCCGATGATCGACTCTTCCTATCAAAACGATGAGTGTGAACACTGTGCGTGGAGAACTCGAAGGTATCCCACCTCCGCCTCTCTGGAGACGTATTCGACGATGATGGAGCAGAACTGTCAGCTTGAGCTTTTGCCTGCAAGCGTCTGACAAAATCGGAAACATGGTAGCTAAGGCATGCCTAAGAGTTGTACGCTGAGTGTCTTATCTTCGGAAGACCCTCCACGTCCTTCTCAACATCACCGCGTACCGAGGATGACGCCTATAATGGGCGGGGTTTCACTTCCATAGCTAATCACACACCCACCAGGCTTTCATTATCCCCATTCTCTACTGCTACTGGACGGTGGATAGGAGGATCAATCGATGGCGGTACGTGCAAATCACGAGACTTCATCGACTTGCTAGGTGGGCTCTCTCTTGAGGACCTCTCTTTTGTCGCACGGGCATGGTCTTCGCCTATCGCCTCAAGAAGTGCAGTAGCAGCTTCCATATGACCTCCTAAGAGTGAAAGGGAGCATGCAGAGACAGCAGCTTCAATAGGGTAAAACTGAACCCTCGTGAGATAGTGTGCATCGATGCGCGTCTAAATGAGCCGTGTTGTCGTATGCGTTTGACTTTGAGTTCACACGTTCAAGAGAGGCTCCTCGGACTTCTTACCATCGCTAGTTCCACCTGACTCCGATGCATGCGCCACATCTCGACCAACAGCTGAGAAGATTGCAAGATGACTACTTCACAGTGGATGTGGATACCTATCGAGTGGATCCTATCCATTGCCTCTAGTGCACTTGCTCTCGTAGTTCGTCGAACAGTCGGCGAGCATGAGATCTGCGTCAATCGTCCTCCACCTCGTGGAGTTCGTCTAGGTGCCGGTGTAACAGGCACTGATAGCACACTAGATGCCGGAAGCGAAGAGAGGTCTTCAACTATAGAGCCTGACCACACCAACAGCTAGTGAGGGGCTCAGGGGCTCACCATACTGTGAATCAAGCGAAATATTTTTTCAAGTATAAACCCAACAACAATACGGCATTAATTCCGTCAGAACCCATACTCAAGGTAGGCTACCTTCATTCGCCAGGTCAGACCCTGTTGGACTCTGTACTGAATCCTCTTTAACCTCCTCACTCGACACCATTGGGACCACTCCAGCCGACGCTGGGTTCATTGCCATACTAATGGATTCAGTCGATGCTTCTGCCTTATTTCCCTTTCTGGGACTTCGCCTTCTCGGACTGCTCTTCATGGGGGAATATTCCTCCTGCGCACAGTTCCAAACTACCAAGGTGATAATAGCGACTACTTCTACAGTCACCTCAGCCATCTGACCGTGTTCATCTTGAAAGTCCACAGCGTCAGGAGAAGAGTGAAAGTGGTGAGGCCGAGCTGAGAAACACGCACAGTCTCATCAGCGGAGCGACGCTTAGGCGGATGAATAACACGAGAATTTGGGGGATGAGGTTCCCATAACAAACCAATAGCGTACTGTTGGATGCAGCTTCCGCATGTATCTCTTCCAATGCGGCGATTGCTGCTCGTCGTAGAGGCCGGCCAGTGGCAGACATTGGGATCGGCGCCGGTTCCATTGCGTCTACAGCCTCTCGATCGCCTTCAGCATCATCGAGGACTCCTACATGGGAGAGCATGAACAAGAAAGAACAGTGGTGCTCGCACCGCTTCGCTCTTCGACCCTTCCCCCATGATCATAATGCTCCTCAGCCGTGGATCCCTCATTATTCGCCTCATCCTCATCCTGTTCACTTCCCAGTATCTCAAGCTCCTCACTTTGACTCCGTTGAGAAGAGTGTCCATCCAATTCTTGTAGTCCGCCCGAAGAGGTCGGACTATGATCCCACTCGATCGGCCCGCTGCCCAGAGGGCTCTCTACCTCCTCATCAGGCGAGAACTGCAACGACTCGGATGAGGACTCAATAAGATTGGTGTCTTCAACAGCCTTGTACTCCAACAGGGAATCAGCTGTCGGCGTTTTGACCTCCTCCTCCCCGTCACTGTATTCTTCATCGTGTGTCGCATCAGGTTTCCCGATCTCGCTCTCATGTGCGGGCAACAACTCTACATTATCCATATCTAGCTCCTGCATTCCAGATTCGTCTTCCATCACTTCTGCCTCCTCAGAATGCTCCTCCCCTCCGTGGACCTCAACTTCTTCCATCAACACTTCCTCATCAGTCGATCTCGTTGAGGACTGTTCAGAGTTCCCCTCAAGTGCCTCGACAGCTTCTCCAATGCCCGCGCTCTCCTCCTCCGATTCGGAACCCTCAACCGGTGTGCTCGCTTCCGAAGTCTCGGAGCCTAGAGACATCACCGATGGCGAGGACTCGGACACTTGTGAATGTGAAGATTGTGCAGCGTGGACCTGATCGAGGTGAGTGGAGCCAGGAAGGCCATGAGTGAGCCATACTTCAATCTCGTCTCCCTCCATCACAGTATCTAATGCCGGTCGAGTAGCTTCCTCCGAGGACGACAACACTGCTAGGAACGAAGGTCTCGTGACCTGACTTAGCGGCGACTCGAAAGAAGCTTCCTCTTCGTCTCTTCTCATCCCTCCAACATCCTCTCGTATTGGTACCCCCAGATGGACCTAGAGTGATATTGCAATATGAAGAAGCATCGAGAATGTCACTGGAGCTTTCTCACCTGCCCTTCATCTGTAAGCTGCTCAGCCTCCTCCAGTGCAGAGTGCTCAGAGCATAGACTACTGGTCCTACGCCGCTTCCTCAAAGGTGCCTCTTCCATATCGTCAACTCTCCCCGCCCCAGCCGAGGCTGCAGAAGATACGGGGCTGAGCTCTTCCAAGGACCGACCTCTCTTCAAAGTAGACCGACGTAGGCCGTCCCTCATGACCGAGAGGATATAATACGGTCGTATAGAGCGCGGAATATGGTCGTAGTCGCCGCTATTGTACAAGCGCAAATATGCAGAATCTCGGTGAGTGTTGCCATGGAGTCCACTAACATACGTAAAACCCGGACCGAAGGGCTTCGATCGATCTAATCTACTGCTTCTGGTCGAGGCCATACCCCCATATCATGCATCAAAACCTGAACCGATTCGTGCTCATTGCAAGCTGGGAAACGCAAGAGGGTGACGGTCGTCGTCTTCAAACAATCACAAATGATGGGGAGGGGCAAGTATACAATGAGGGCCGATCTCGATTCACAAGGCAATGCGGCAGTAGAAGTCATCATCGTCGCGGAGTTGATCTCAAACGTGTCACGTGAGGAGTGTCTTCCGCGCTCGTCTCCGACGTTTCTGCAGTCATAGTCGTTGCTACGAGATGCGATGCACAGGAGAGCAGCTCAGCCTCTCGCAGCCTCTTTCGAGTCTCCTTATCGCGAGGGTCTGCCTGTTCTACTGGTCGGCCCTCCAGGGCCGCTTCGAGAATTCCCTTCGGGTCCGAGGCAAAGGCCCTCATGAAGTCAAGGCGGTCCGCCGCAACTATGAGCTGAGACATGATGGCTGAAACCGACCCACATCATAGCTTAGACCAACTCACATTATTGCAGCTACTCTTCAGTGCAGAGAGGGCATCGGTTTTGAGGTCAGGAAATGAAGCCAGTCTTCTCGCCGTCGGTTCGCTGCCTGAACTACTCGAGTGATCACTATCAACAGCTTCATCCACCCACATGTTGTGTTCTGCAATGGAGTGTCGCAGTAGCTGAGGTCAACTGGTATCGTATACACCATTTCCGAGGCCGTCGGGTCAAATTGATCGAAACTGACAATACTCCATGATCAAATTCACTGGAGCTTCACGCGTTTTACGTAGGGTGATGTAAAACTCAGTGAAGAAAATATTTGCGCTATGCAGTAGCCGTGAAATATTTCTTCAATAGTGTTTTTCATATCACGGGTGAAACTCCATTGCTAACTACAGTACTCACTTCAGCTTGTGATTTATCACTACTGGTCCGGGAGGCTTGCACATCCGAGACGCAGCATCATAGAGCTCCTCTACCGTCCTCTCTGGAGGCGGTCCAGGCGTCATCAAGTCCTCAGGGAAGAGATGCTGACGAAGGCAACAACATCGTCATTGCCAGTCTTGATGTGACTTACCGCTGTCAGAAGCGCGTCCGGTTTGAACTTAACCTCCCCGGTATCATTCTCGATAACTAGATTTTCCCGTCGGATGTAGCCCCACAGAGAGCGGACCTAACACAAGCAACTACTTCAGCAAATGCAAAGATGTTCCTCACCAAGGTCGGCATCGTTATACGTCGTCTTCCAGTGACGATCTTCTCTATCTCTGGGGGTACTTCAACCATGGAGCCAGGATAGTCTCGCATGAAAAAGACTAGTTTCAGCACGAGTTCCTAATCATACTTCTCGAAAAGCTTCCACAAGCAGCACTCACCTTGGTGCCTTCCTGACTGAGCTGGATACCATCGTATCGGTCTCCAGCCTTCCTCTCCCATACCGCGGGGCTTTTGTGTTCACAAGTGTCATCGGATATTCCCAGGATGAGGAGTCTCTCAACCACGTCCGAGAATTTAACGGCATTGGAGATCCCCACAGTGTAGCCTTCGTCCGATACCACATCACCCTGAAGTGACTAAATTTCCCACCGCGAGGGGATGTAGGAATAGTAACGTCATCCACCGGCGAGGAATACAATCAATGAGAGGAATTACACTTCATAGTTGCCCACCTTTATAAAGAGCGTCCACCTCCCACATGAGAGCTCCTTAGACCAGTCAACATGATGTTGGGGGACGGCCTCAGACCATGCCCATCGCTCTGCTGCGTCCTCTGGGTATAACTTCCCTCCAGTGGTATTCCAGATGTGCAGCCGGAGTATGGGGTTCCGCGGAGCCTAAGGTAAGAGAATACCCCGACGGAGAACTCAAACTAGCACTTACCAGGCCCCTCAAGCCAGTCCACGCCGCACTCCGACCAGTACCCATTTCCACCGTATTCCGGTAAAGGGCTTGTCTGTCATTCACAGCCGTGGCGAGCTCCGCATCAGCGTTGACGATCGATCGATAAGCCTCAATAAATGGCTTTATGGATGGCATTGAAGACAGCGTCTCCGCCTGAGGAAATAGAAGTGACGGCACGGTGAGGGACTATGGAACCCCCGATAGTACAGCTTGCAGAACTGCATTATCCACAGCGTCGACGCCATCGATGGCTGACATGATCTCAATACTCACTGAGCAAACATGAGAATAATCAGTTTTCCCCAATCTCCAACAGCAACGCGGTGGTGCACAAGAGACCGCTGTGATGGGAAATCAAACGATGAGAGCCGCAGGGAGTAGGTGGTAGTAGATCATTCAACCCAGCTGGCTCATGTACGTTGGCTCCTCGTAGAGAGCAGGTGCGAAATCAATAGTGCATGAGTAAGTACATGGTACATTCTACCAACACTACCCTGTGCTGGGTACGGACTCAGTGATTCTCGGACTACTCGATTCACTCACAATGACTGCTGTACCATACGGACCCACAGCCAGCCAACGGACTCTACCGCGGGGGAAGTTCCTGGTCACATCTAGAGGTGGTATTACCACATCTCTTTGACGTCTTGTTGTGGACACCTGATTATGATCGAAGTGCACGGGAGCATGAATTAGAGTAGAGCTATTCTGTGAGTTGATGCAGATGAACGACAAATGCCGTCCCCCCCCATGGGACTCACTCTTCCAGCTGTGTTCTCACCCCATGTGTATATACCCCAGTCCCTCATCGCAGGCCCCTCCTCCCCAGCAGCCGGGGTAGGGCCGCCGCCGACGACGACCCTCCGAACCCATGCAGCACAATGACCACTACTGCACTGCACCATCTGGACCTGTATCCGCTTCGGAAGTCGGACCCGCATGAAGGTCTGCTGCGAATACTGAATAATCAATTTCGCGGGTCGAAGTCCATATCCCAGCATTACTTGCAAACTCCTCCCGCACTGGCCCTTCTCGTTGTCGCCACAGGCATAGACAGCATCGTGGTGTTCGTCGTGGGGCGTATGGTCGTAAGGCGTGTCGTTGATGACGAGGAATGACGTATTCGGACCGGCGAAGATTCCCTCAGGAGCGAGGCCCGAATTCTAAAATCGCGAATCTTGAGGCCGACATGGACGCTATAGACTATCGTAGGAAGTCGATCGGGGAGGAGGGGCCTACATGCGGGGCGAGCTCCCGAGTATGCTGCTGGTCGAAGTCGGTTGGCACATCTGCAACTTTGGTTGGAGTAAACCGTAAGTGAGTCTGGAAGGGTGCATAAATCACTAGTGGTTGCGAGGGCGACTTCTGTTCCCTCATATTCTCTAGCGGGGATGAATTGTTCGGAGCACACCTATCCATGATGCTTCCTCAGGAGACTACCCTCACTACCTGCGCCTACCTCGTGTCACCATGACCGAGCTGCAAGAGAGTATCATCACCCCAGGACCAGACCTCGCCATTGTCGTCCAACACCATAGTATGATAGTCACCGACTGCTACACTCACTCCACGAGGCTCCCGCACATACGGGCCCTTCTTGCCAAAGAATACCCGTGTAGCGACACCCAGTACCCCCTGGATAGCAGGATCTACCGCACACTGTCCCCTGGAGTTGCTGCCGAGACACCATACTCCACCGTCCTGGTCCAGGCCCACAAAGTGACCAGCACTCACAGCTATCGCCGAAAACTTAACACTTTGAGGCAGGCCCGGGCACACGCTGATAGAGTTCTTCCCACGAGCAGCGACAACATTCTGCACGACATACACTCTACCATCATCTCCCAGGAGCCAAAGTGCAGTCCGCGAGGATTGAACGTCTACGGCTCGCACATCCGAGGGAAACGGCACCACCTTTACTACCACGTCGCCATTCTTCCCATTGCTATTACCCTTCCTCCACAGCCAGGCTTTACCGTTCTCTGCCACAGCGCCACCGAACCCATCCCCAAGAGTTACACGGGTCCATCTTTCATTGGGTAAAAATGACAAACGCTGCGCCCCCCGCCTTGTTCGCTCCAGAGTAGGCCCAACCGAGCCCATAGCATAAATAGAAACTTGCTCGTCAGCGCGTGAATCCCTCGAGCCCTCACATTGAGAGTACTGCCTAACCGAGAAGATCCCCAGGGTGACTACGCTGACGGGTGCTATTCTCCGCCATGTAGTGGCAAAGAGCCTCTGCATCATACATTGAGACAAGACCTGTAAGAACTCATCGACCCGACCACTCTTCGAGACCGCGGCTCGGCCTCCGAAAGCACCCTGAGAGTGCCGTTTTTCATTCGTCATCACTGTCAGCAAACACAACCCGACTATCATCATACGGAAGGAAGAATATTATGTACATGCAGAATCAGAGCTTCTTAGCGAAACTCTCTCTTTCGTCCTCCTCCTCCTTGGCGGCCATAACCACCCGAAACTTCTCACGGTTGAGTGCGAGGACCGACTTACGTCTTTACTTCGGGATACTACCCTTACAATAATGATCAACTGGCTCTTCCCGCCAAGATGTGTCCCGCGAATTGTAGACAAAAAGCTTCCTACTCAACTCAGACGGCAACCGTACGTCCGTCTTTTTCCCAAAGATCAGTGCTTTTCCGGACGTACTCTTGAGAACTATACCACGGTGCAGCTGAGGAGGTCACTTGCAAACAGGCGTCTGCCATATATTACTTAGTACGGGATCTAACAGCGGGAGCTGCCATAACAGGAGAATCTAACCGCTCACACCCAAAAGAGCAACGTAAATAATGCAATGTGTTACTTCGACCTTTATGAGCGGATCGTTGGTGTGCAGCAGCAACAATGCTGATTCATCGATATTCGCTAGAAAATGGGTTCTGGAGCATCGCTGAGTGAAAGGGAATAATCATGGCAAATGGGAGAAAAGCGGCTGTATCAGATTTCGCCAACTCAGAAATCGCCAAAATGACGCCAAACAGATTCGCAGGCCTAAAGACAGGAATTGTAGGTGATACCAGTGTTAAAACAGATTACAACAATGTGGTGAAATACGCTACTCTACAACTGATTTGGACTAAGATTTGGTGGATTCTGCAAAATTCAACAGATGTGCAGTAATTTGCGTGTTGTTCTCATTCCGCCAACATCAGTATTGGCAATAACTGCACATGGACAGCTCCCGCCAAGTTGGTCTTCTGGACAAGGATTGCCAAGTAGATGATTTTAGGGTTGTGAAATATGGGGCTCCGCCCGAATTTAGCCAAACCCGATTTTAACCAACTAAAAACCGCGCGCCATTATAATCTATTAATATATATTAGCATTATTTTACCCAATCGCTTGGGGAACGTTGAAGCAATAACAGGTCGCCATGGAGAACACTTAAAAGTTCTTGTTATGTAGAGTGTATGGTTCAGTGGTTAAGTTTCGTGTTAGTAAGTGCAACGGTATAGGGTTCAAACCTAGGCAATATACTTTTAATTATTTCAGAGCTTAAATTGGGCTTTCCAGCCGCTGGGGGATTACTTTGGTTTTGGTTTTAAGAGTTGGGATAGCGCGTTGGTTAGTCTTCGGTTCTGGGTAACCGGTGGCGCTGGTTCAAAACCTTGTAAGGCCATGGGTAAGATGCACTTTCTGGACAGTGGCGACTCGCCGCTGACGAGGGTGAAGTTTTTTGTAGGTGGCAATCGGCTCGCTAGAAGGCTTGGTACGGCTTTACGACCACTTTTTGAACTTCGCGGCGTTGGCAACCAACAGGGTGTTCGAAATCGGGCCAGTAAGCGACAGTCATACTGTGTGTACCAAGGGAGAGTCGGGAGAGTCGTACTTTCAGGTTCGCGCATTGTGCTTCGTACCTGATAGTCGATGCCGTGTGGCAAGAGGCGGGTTTTATGGGCAGATGAGTATTCTACACGAGAGGACTCTTCAGATCTTGAGGGTAATATATTTTACGAGGGGCTTTATACCAGGGGTTATATTTTTAATGCGCAGACCATTAATGCGCACTCTGACAGTATCCTCGACCTTCAACGATACGGGTCGTACCTCGTATCAACCAGTGACGATGACACGTTGCGCTTCTGGCGTCGCATTGGTCCTTTGCCGGCGCTGGCACGGACCCTACCAGCTAATGGCGTTTGCTCGTTGGCTCTGCATGCTCCAAGCTCCACTATTCTCATTGGTTGCAGCGATGGAACCCTTTCAGTATTAGGAATACCCGATTTTCGGCACTCGTATATTCCAACAGGTATGGTCGGAGATGGCTGCCGACTGGGAACAGTTCCCAGAGTGGCACACTGGCCCAGTGCAGGGCATAGCACTGCTGGATGATGACACCGATGAGATACAGCCGAGGTGAGTCTCAGCGATTGCCATAGGGAACACTTGTCTCCTGTCGTAGGAGCGTGGCGACCGTGGGTAGGTGTGACCACATGGTCCGCATCTGGGACGTGGAGGAGCAGGTCTGATCCTCCATTGGCGAGGCACCTCACGTTCGGGTATATTATACTGATCTGATCAGTCTGATCAGCTCCAGCGGGCATGCGACATAGTACAAACAACGCTGCCGAGGGCCTGCACGGTGCCCTGAAGTGTTTCATGGGTCATCGCCGTTCACATGAACGATTCTTCATTCATCAACTGAGAAAGCACAACGAGCGGATGCGCATCGAGCTCCGAATGGAGGATGGTGAGCCTTGAATAAGGCGGTGGCCTTTCAAGGCTGAGGAAAGGCGAGTGAGTTAATCTCACTAGTTGGTGTTGTTTTTTTGATGGTAGTGTTGACTCGGAATTCAGAATCCTTGTGTTAATCACATCATGTGATTAACACAAGGATTCACGGTGTGTGAACACCCTTATTGACATGTGATTCACATGTCAATAGTCCCCGGAGACAAGGTGTTCGTTTGGTCGAACTTCTCTCTAGACCGCCAAGTTCGTCAGGAGTATTCGGTCGTCAGTGTTGAGGACGACTGGTATGCCGGAGAAGACTATCTTTACCTGTATCGTCTTCGAGGAGACCGTGATGGTGAGGAGTTGGTAGTTGAAGACCTCTGTCCGTTAATCGGCAGAAAGCGAGCCTTGTGGGGCTATGCTGAGTGCTGGAGCAGTTTCCGAGATAACACAAGAACTGAGTAGTGTAAAAAACACGTTTTAAAGGGGAACAAGAACTGGTTATTCTCTAGGCTTCGTTTAGCTGTTCACTACGTTCACGGTGTCTTATGGCAATTGTTGCGCGGTTACCAATAAGGTCGTTTCGGGACGCAACGACTGGTAATGGGGTAACCAGATAACGGTAACTAGAAACCGGTAACTGGTTGGGGACAACACCTTGGTCACTTGATACACCCCATGGAACTTGCGCTTCTGGAACTTAGAGCTATGTACTGTGGCCGAAGAGTCTCTTTTAAAGGCAACTTTGTCGCCCACCTGAACTCAAGTCACCAGCACTAGGATACTATCCTGTTAGGACAACCTACCTGAAACACCTCTTCAGGCTCCATATCCTCTCTATGTTCCAGCGCTCGCTTCCTTGCCACCTGTTTGATGTATTGTGACCCAGTTTGTTGAACCTCCTTCAAGTGCTGCCGCAGTCTCTCCAAATAAGCCTGAGCTGCTTCTTGGTCGGAGCCTTGGTCGGAGCCTTGGTCGGAGCCTTATTCAGCCATGAATTATTGAACTCGAGCTTTGGTCGGAGCATTCCATCGAAAAGGAGAATCTCTATGGAGATATGATGATCGGAGATCACTGACCGATTCATACAAGGCCATACGACGCTGTTCAACTTCCTCGTTGGGCCTTGCCGGCTCGGCAAAGTTGACAAAGGATTAACTCTGCCGTGGTAAAACCCATGTAAGTAGATCCTGGGCTTCCCGCGCGAACTCTCCTGTACTCGATCGGTCTATGATAGACCGCCTATCGCCCTATCACAAAACATGATAATCATTTGAACTCAGAGTCCAAAGACATCGAAAGTCACTGAGAACAGACAACGAAAAGCAGAACCAAGGGGGAAGTGTGCGGTTGAATCCAACTTGGCGGTATGCGGCCTTGATAAAACTCTCGCCGGACAGGAATCATCACAAAGTTGTGGCGAAAGCCTGTCACAAAACCAGATTTGAACAAATCACCTGGCGATATTCGACTCCGACCCGGGAATATACCAACCGTGATCGATAAAAGGCGGATATCGCCAAAGATGGTGTAATCTTCATAAACAAATGATTATACCAAGATATCGGCGTTTTACGACACGTACTTGGCGAATACCGATGAGTTCACCAAGTTTTATAGCAATATCTGAGCCACTGGCATGTTACACCAATACCAAGTTGCTGTAACCGTGCGCACGGAACGGAATAGATCATTTGGGCGAACGAAACTACGGATTACCTCAACCAGTTTCCGCCACATCTCGGGGAAATTCGTTAGGTGTCGACGCCAAAGAGGCGAAATATGGTCCAGAAGCGGTCGTATCTCATGATTGAGCATGTTGGCGAGAGTTCATTAGGACCCGAGATCACCAAGCTTGGCGAGTTGGTGAAACCTGGTCCTCCGAGAAAAGCCAAGGCGTAGATCTCGCGCGCCCGAAATTCTACTTTTAGGGGAATTCTCAAGGCAACCAGAAACGGCGCAAGATTTGGACAGGTGATCCCGCTTAGCGGTCCCAACGTATGTGGATCTCGGTCCCAACGTATGTGGCCACATAGGGGGCTCCTGCCAGAGCCGAGACGCGCGCCTTCGGACCACTTTTTTGTACTGGAGACAAGCACGTGTCCCATACACCTCGGCCCTCACGGGCCGCTTCACAGCTCCTCTTCTATAGCACTAGAAAGCTTACGACATAAATGACCTAGCCGGCGAACCTATGGCGAGTATCAGGGTCCCGTAAGAAGTTTCTCCCCGGCGGGTTAACTGCGAGTGGCGATACCCATTCAAACTTTGTAAGCACATGATCTCGCGTAGTTGAGCAAGTTGTCATGCGCGGATTAATGACATGCTACTCAAAAGATCCACATGCTGTATAAATTAATTAGACCACAAAACAATCACATAATGCTATTGGGACTCAACATTATGAATGAGAGTATTGACAGAAATCTAAGCATTGCATAATCAGAATGCCTAGACGTATACGACTTTCGTTACTACCTCATGAGGAGACTTGGAATATTTGAACCAGAATTGTTCGACGTGACTACACCAAACTACCGACGTGCCCAAAAGACAAATATTAAAAAGAATAACGATCTATCCTACGACTTGACGGTTGAACATACTTACTCGTGACTACAACAAACGACCGACGTGCCCAGAAGACAAATATGAAAAAGATTTAGGATCTATCCTACGACTTGACGGTTGGAAATACTTACTCGAAATTACTGTCACAACGAACCAGACACGCTAGAGTTATTTGATTAATCAGGGTCCATACCGTTCGCTGTCTAGTAGAACCTGATAACACACATAGATCCAGGGATTCGAAAAGCAGAAGGGATAAGTGAGTAACAACAAGTGGAAACTTTCCACTGGAAAGCATGAAGTTCCTGACGATATACAATAGAGTCTAACATTGACATTAACAACAACCCTCTACTGATGAATTCACCTATACAGCATGAAATACTAAAATAACTCACTGTTCTTGAATATAGTCAATTTTCGCTCTATATTTTACACTTGGCCCAGTAATAACGATTCACACTTATAGTTAGTTCCTAAGAGGATAACGTTATAAATATATGCAACACCATAGCTTCCTCTCGGAAACATCATCCACTTGAACCATGAATATTTTTTGGGAAATTTAATATCACCCACGTTCTCACATTTTGGTATGGGAGAAACCAAACAATCACATCTTGAATAATGGTATTGATTTTATGCAATGATTATCCTTCATCTCTTTAATAGTGCATGATACGTACTGAAACTTAATCTAATGACTTCGTTAGGCATCAACATCATACTATATTCCCTAATGCAATCACGCAAAACTAAAATATACTATCGCAATAACAGATCTGATATAACTTTGCAACACACATTATGTTACCTGTCATACGGCTTCTTGAACCGGTGCTCGCTTCCCCACTCTCCTGTCCATTCCCACTTGATCGTGTTACCGAAGGACGACCTTAACTAGCAGTCTCTAATGATTGAAGTGATTAAGCAAATTCCTAACTCCCATCCTTCTCGGATAACCCGCGACGTCGATTTATCGAATATATGACAAACGTATAATATGATAAAAACTACGAACTGAAGTAGGTTTCCTTATCAACGCTTATCCAATTATGATATCTATATAATAAAACTGAACACTTTTACATCTCTCGCGTCATGAATATGATAGGTATGGAGAAGTATAGTCCATGAAAACTCACATCTATTTTCACTTGTAACCTAATTAAAATGACAGGAGTTATATCCATTATAACTTCCATTATACATATACTGAACTCACTTCGAACTTCCCCCTGTACAAGCGGAGGCGTCAGAGGTCGATAACGGTCTTCTAAAGCTAGTTTCTCGTTTCCCACAACACTGAAGAGTGGTCGAAGATATACAACATGAAACATCCGTACAACAGGGAGCGAAAACTCCTCTGTTTCTTGAGCCGGCTTGCTCCATCCACCAATATCCCATCCAGAAATTCTAGATAATATTCTCGAACAGCATATTTTAATATCTTGCAAATTGAACTTGCTCCACTGAGATGATCGAAGGGCACTTTCGTGAAGAAAAATGGATGAAAATGTTAGACCGCTAGCAATAGACCCGTTAAGCAGAAGTTCAACTTCATCATTCACATCGTCTCATCGATATCCAACTCTGCCTCTAAGACGAACCCTGGCAACGCTGGCTTCGAGACGCAGCCACAATTATTAACCCCCGATGGTATGGGCAGACGGTTGCACAAGGTCCCCCCACACGACGATACCAATCTAAAAACTACTCAGACGTAACTTTATGTTCTTCAAATAGAACCACGAGTAGGTTGTATTATTCGATTGCAATGGAAGATCCATCAGAGGTGAACTTACGTCGAATCTATAGATCGGATGTCGTACGTGTATCACGGGGGTTACCCTACCTTCATCAAGGTATTGCTGGAGAAATCGTGGTTCGACTACCACGACAGTATCACCCACTCTGAAGTTCACATTATTCAGCATTTGTTTAGTAATCTCAACATTACGACAGAAAATAATACAACATGATGTAGAGGAAATATCTCCAAATAGCAGTAGGCGATCATATTCAGCCAATGATTGTCCCGCACGATTAATAGAGCGGCGATGAGTGTAAACAGGTAGTCTGGTAGCCTTTTCACAACGACGAACGTTGAATAAGCGTAGCGGAAGTTTCGCTTGATCACATGAATCACCTTGGAGAACCTCAGCTAAACTCATCGTTCTGTACGAAGTGATAACGTCTGCAGTGAGTGACATTGGACAATTGC